CCCGCCCCCGCGCCCGCACGGGCGGGGCGAGGCGGGACAAGGGCGGGCGGGCGGGGACACCGGCTTGGCTCTGTCCCCACCGTCACGCCCAGGTCCCAACGCTGCGGAGCACCCGCGCGGGTGTACGGTAGCCAAGGGAAAAGTGTGGCTTGGAAGGCTGAGGCAGGAGACTCTCCGCAAATTCAAACCTGGGCTACCCCGTGAGAGCCTCTCTCGCAAAACAACAAAAGTACACACATCGCGGGAGACCAGCAGAGAGAGCGGCCGAGGAGAGGAGAGGGGCGGGACAGAGATCGAGGCTGAGGGCAGCTTTCGTTTGAACGGGAGTCTGAGAAGGGGCCGCCAGCCCTGCAGGGTCAGGGACCAAGAGGGCTGCAGGCCAAGGCAGGCACCACCGCGCAAAGGCCCTGGGGCAGCACAGAACCTTGTGAGCTGGGGGAGCCACAGAGAGAGGAGAGGAGGCAGTGAGGGGCTGGGCCTTCTGCAGGGCCCTGTGGCCAGCATGGGGAGGAGCTGCCTCAGGGGCCAGGTGGGCGGGGAGGACATAGGCCCTGACTCATGGGTGCCTCATTCCTGAGGATGCTCAGGGCACCCTCCGAACCTCCCGCCCACAACCTCAATCCCGCCCTCCAGAGGACCCACCCTACACACTTCCTTCCACAGAGGGAGTCCCCGTGGGGTTTGGGCTGGGAAAGTCCAGGGGGTGGGGATGGTTTTCCACAGTGGTAGACACTGGAGCTGGGGCTTCAGCGGATGAGTAAGAGTTCAACACTCTTGCCCAGGGTCACCAGCCACACACCTCAGTGTGTGGCCAGGGGACATCAAGGCTGTGGTCATCGGGGGAGGCCCCATCCCCATTCCACGCTGGCCTCCTGACACTCAGAGTCCCTTTCTTGAGCCCATGGCTTCTCCCACCCCACTCAGGATGCCAATACCTGCCTGAGAGCTGTACCACTGCTGCCGGACAGGACGGACCAGTTGTGCGGGTGTGACCTCTGCTGTCAGAGTCTCTGGCTCTCTCCCTTCCTCTCTCTCTCTCTCTCTCTCTCTCTCTTATTCTTTCTTTCCTTGGTTTCCTGTTTGTTTGTTTTGAGACAGGGTCTCCCTGTGTAGCCCAGGCTGGCCTCCAACTCCCACAGACCCTCCTGCCTCAGCCTCCTGAGTGCTGGCATGACAGGTGTGCACCACTGTGCCCAGCCAGATGGGGATTTTAAGGGTGGCTAAAACCCAGGCAAATTCCAGGCAGATTTCCTTCTCCGAAAACCTGCCCAGGAAAACACTATAAAACTACAAGAAGAAAACATGAGTTAATAATAATAATAATAAACCCAGGGTACTGAAGCTTAGCATTACACCCAGAACCTTTAATTAAAAGATTTGTGGCTGGGCGTTCTGCCCAGGAGCACTGGGGGTGGGAGGGCGCTGAAGCAGGAAGATCATCACAAGTTTGAGGCCGGCCTGGGCTGCATAGCAAGTTCAAGGCCAGCCTGACCTACACAGCAAGACCCTGTTTCAAAAACCAAATCAAAGCAAAACAAGACAAAAATCTATGCACTGCAGTGGCGCATGCCTGTCATCCCAGCTACTTGGAAGGCTGAGGCAGGAGGACTGCAGGTTCAAGGCCAGTCTGGGCAACTTCTCCTGTCTCAGACTCTGAAAAGGCCTGGGGATGGAGCTCAGACAGAGCAAAGGCCTCAGGTTCCATCCCCAGTGGTCCAAGAAAACAAGACACAAAAGATGGAGAAGTTTGTTAATTCACTGCAGCTAGGTTTTGGGGTGACAACAAGCCGTGTCTGTTCTTGGGAATGTTTTCTGGGTGCACAAAGAGGACGCACTTGCTAAGCCGTTCAGCAGGAAGCTACACCGGCCTGGAGCACACACAACCCAGGAGGGGAGCTGAGGCCCGAGGGTGGTACTGACGCTCCCCAGGGGAGGCGGGCAGACTCCATCTCCACCGGCCCCACCCTGGCCCCGGGCACCTGGCTTGTCGGCCGAGCTCCAGGCGTCACCCCTGCACCTGTGCATGTCCAACCCGGTCCAAGTGACGCCAGGGACCTCTGGCCGCAGCAGCAGGCAGCCATGCTGAGCTGCGTGTGCTCGGTGCCGGCTCCAGTCAATCCTGGCTCCGTTACACCCTCGAAAGAGCCAGGTGGCTGCGGTGGCCAGCCCTGCACCTGGGCCACGCCACTGGAGTGACCATGCTTTCTGCCACCGGGACACTGCGACAGTGGGGACCCAGGGCTCCGGAGCGTGGGGAGGGCGGGGTGCCCAAGTCACAGACCCCAGCTCGGAAGAGGAGCCGGGGGCTCCAGGCCCTCAAGCTGCCCCTCGCTCCTCCAGTGTCTCCCAGAACCGCAGCTCAGAAGAGCGGGCTTAGAAAAAGGGCTGGGGCCAGGCATGCTGGTGGACACCTGTAATCTCAGCTGTTCATGAGGCTGAGGCAGGAGGGTCACCAAGTTAGCGACTGAACAAGATGCTATCTCAAGGGAATAACCAAAGATCTAGGATGTAGCTCAGTGTGAAGGAAGGCCTGGCGTTCAAGCCCCAGCGAGAAAGGGAGAGAGAGATAGCAGGAAAAGCAGAAATACCAGGCATGTTCAAAAGCAGCATTCTTCATAAAGAGCTGTTGGAAGTAAGAATAGAGGGCCACAGAGAGAGAACTTTAGACACACAGCAAAGTGAAAAAAAGACATAAAACAGCTCAGCCGTGTTAGCTTTCCCTCCCCTCTGGTATCTGACAAAGCTGCCCAATCAGTAGATTCGGGAGGGCACCGGAGGGCTGGAAGAAGCCGGCACCTTCTTTCCGGAAGCAACCCTCCTGCCTCAGCTTCCTGAGTGCTGGGATCACAGGCATGCGCCACTACCACACCCGGCTGTCTCTCTTGTTCACCGCGGAGTCTTTGGTGCCCTGAACAATGCCTGGCTCTGATTTATATGCAGAGCACGATCCAGTGTACTTGTGTTTCTGTACATGCGAGTTTGGAGAACTATAATGCTAAACAAGTGATTTTCTGCACACCTCACCTATTTCTTGGCCAGGGATATAGCTCAGTGGCACATCACCTGCCAGGCAAGTGTGAGGCCCTGAGTTCAATTCCTGATACCCAAACAAAACAACAAAAGACCCATTTCTTCGGCGAGTAAAGAATTCTCAGGCCCCCCCCCCCAGTTAATGATGTGCCTGGCTTGTAAGGATTAAATGAGAAGTTAGGTGAAGTGATGCACACCTGTCATCCCAGCCCTCTGGGAGGCTGAAGCAGGAGGGTCTCAAATTTGAGCCCAGCCTGGGCAACTTAGTGAGGTTCTGTCTCAAAATAAAGATTTTTAAATGGGCCAGGGATGCAGGCCAGCGAAGGCCCTGGATTGCATTCCAAGTATTAGGGGAAAGACGGGCAGGATAAAGGCTGGGACCCCCATTCCCCATAAACCTAAAATACCCAAGGCAACCACAAATGCGCACACACCAGCTGGGTCTTGGCTTGGGGGCTCTGCAGCCTCTTTTTTTGTTTGTTTTGTTTTGTTTCCGGTACTGGGAATCGAACTCACAACCTTGCGCTTGCCAGGCAAAGCCTCGATCTCAGTAGAAGCCCCCTCAGCCTGCACCAGAGCCCCGGGTCTCCGGCTAAGGCCCGGGCGCCAGCGGGAGCCCCAACGGAAGAGGAGCAGGAGCGGCCGCCACTAGGCTCAGCGCACGGCTCTCGGGCGCCACCCTGTGGCCACATAGAGCAGCGGCGGGCCAAAGCTGCGGGGCCTGAGTCTCTTGTTTGTTTTAACCCTTGATACTGGGGATTGAACTCAGGGTTTCCACACTTAGCTACATTCCCAGCCTTTTCATTATTTTTATTTTGAGACAGGGTCTCCTGAAGTCACTAAATGGTCCAGGCTGGGCTGAAACCTGGCATCCTCCTGCCTCAGCCTTCAAGTACTAGTATCACAGGTGTGCACTGACATACCAGGATGTTTTGAAATTGAAAGGCCTTTTAAATAACGTCGCCTCTGAAATGATTTGAGTAGGGATAACCCTGGGGCTTGACACTGGGTCACTGTGCAGGTGCAGGATTCCTGCAAAGGGAAATTTGACCTAGGAGCTCTTGTGGAACGTGACACAATCTCTGTGTTTAAGACAGGGTTTCACTGAGTTACGCAAGCTGGCCTCAGACTCATGATCCTCCTGCCTCAGCCTTCCCAGTGCTGGGATGACAGGCATGCACCACCATGCCTGCTCTGGCGCAATCTTTGGAGCACTACATTTAGCCAGTGAGGATGTTCAAAATGGCATTGACTGCATGCGGGGCACTGATATAAACTTTTTGATGTGCTTTAAGCTTCACCAAGATTCCTGTGGTAAACACTATTATGATTCTCTTTTTGGGAGCGGGTAAAGTCTTGCTATGTAATCCAGTTTGGTCCTGAACTCACAGTGACCCTACTGCCTCAGCCTCCCGAGTGCTGAGATGATGATAGGCAAGCGCCACTGCTCCAGGCTTACTATTCTCCTTTCCAGTCACAGAAGCCAAAGCCTGGCGTCCCTCTCCCCCTGCCCAGGGCTGCCGGTACGCCTGGGCGGGGGGGACCACCTCCCTTCCCTAATAAAGCTTTTAGGGCTGGGGTCACAGCACCCTGAGTGCCTGGGTTCCAACCCAGCAACATACACGCGTGTATACACACATGCACGCACGCGCCATCCACACTGCAGTGTGTGCGAACCCCTTAAAGGCTGATCACAGACTGAAGCTTCAGGGATTGCGCTTCTCCCTCAGAGGGAGGCGGCCCACGGCTGCACCGCCTCTGCGTCCCCCACAGGGCCACCTGCACAGACGCTCGCAGGAAGATGCTGCAGGGCGACGTGACGCAGGCGGAGATCCCGGTGAGGGCTGTTTTTTGTTTCTGTTTTCTGAGATAGGGTCTGCCTACGTGGATCAGACTGGCCTTGATCTCAAGGTGATCCTCTTGCCTCAGCCTGAGTGCTCGAACAGGCATGCGCCCCCACGCCCAGCTGCCAGGGTGCCGTTTGTACAAGTCAGGGACAACGAGGTTCACCAGTCCCCTCAGAGGATCTGCAGGAGCCGTAGAAGCTGCATGGCGCAGTCTACAGCAGCACCCAGCACAGACGCGACGCTTGCGTTTTATCAGCTTTTTGTGTGTGTCTTTTTGAGACAGGGTCTCCCTATGCAGTTCAGGCTGGCCTTGAGCTCACTTTGTGGCCCAGGCTGGTCTCAAATTCCCAACGATCCTCCTGCCTCAACCTCCCGAGTGCCGGGATTACAGGTGTGCGCCGCTACACCCAGCTATCGGCTTATTTTCTGCGGCGTTGGGGAGTGAAGACAGCGCCTTGTCCAGCGCTCTTTTTGAGACAGGGTCTAAGTTGTCCAGGTTGGGCTCGAACTTGGGATTCTCTAGCCCCGGCCTCCTGGGTAGAGAAAGGACAGACATGTGCCACCACGTCCTGGCTAGTACACTTCTGTGGTAGAGGGGTGGGTTCCTGGCCTGGAGGGCGCCGGTCGGTCTTGGCAGGACCCGGCAGCAGCTCAGCCTGAGCGCCGCAGTGCAGCCGAGTAGGGGCTGTACAGGGGAATGGGGTACCTCGCTGGGCCCCTGCCCAGCTGCCTCCTTAGGGACAGCGCAGCCCACCCAGGCCGCTGGTGCGTGGAGGGCAGGGACCGAGGCTCCAGGGTGCCACGCGCACACTGTCCTGTATGCTATCACTGAGGCCCGGCGGCTCCGAGAGATTTATAGATTTATCGGAAGCCACCGAAAGAGGCGGAGCTGGGCCAGGGCCGCCTGCTGAGTGCCGGGTTTCCGTGGCTGCTTCCAAACTCGGCACATGTGGCGGCAGCGACCCGGCCCCGGGACCTGAGCCCCCGCCCAGCCGCAGGGGCAGACGGGCGTCCAGCGGCAGCGAGGGGCGGGGCTTGTGCCCGTCAGCCAGCTCGGCAGGGACGCGCGGCAGCCGCGGTCCTGGGCCCGGGACGCAGGCGGCCTGCGGCCCACACGGCCCTCATGACCGCTGTTTTGCACAAAGATCCCTGAAGGGGAAATGCACAGGGGCCGCACGCAGAAACGCGCGCTTCGGACAGGCGAGCCCGCCCCACGGCCCCGCTCACCACACAGGAGTGCGAACTGTAAACGTTTATTAATGGAAAATGGAATGCCTCGTTAACAGAAACCTTCTTAAAAACGGCAGAACAAGAACACATTTATTAAAGAAAGTGTGAGTTCACATTGCACCGAGCCGCAGCAGGGGCGGCGCTCGGCGCACGGGCCCCCGTGGTCCGGCTC